TCCGATCTTTAGAAGGTGTGGTACAACCTGCCAGCACATGTTCTTCCGCGTGCTGTCTTCCGTCACTTCACTTGCTTTGACGAGCGAGCACCCGGGGATCTGCTTCTCCGAGAGCCGGAGCATCACCTCTCTCATGAGGCCCGAGAGGTATTTTCCTCATTTTCTGTATTTTTCGTACATTTTCGCACCTTTGCCATGCTTGAATATGTAGTTTAGCTTATGACATAGTACTTTTGCTTGCATCTTGAATATAGCCTACGGACATTGAGAGATGGTCTATGGGACCTCTCCCTCCCCTCAGGAAAAGAAACAGAGAAAACCGAGTCTGGTTCGCAAACCGAGACAAGGCACAGAAGAGGGTTCGGAAGTCCGGAGGTAGGGCTCACGGCCGCGACTCTGAGATTTCTGAACAAGCACACTATGCAACATCACCAAGTGCTCAATCGGTGACGTCTGAGTCTTAAGGTCGGTCAAAAATGGGGTGTCTACAGTTGCCCCTCTTTGACAGAACTCGGAAGTCACAAGTGACGGGAGTGAATGTCAAAGCCCGGAGACGACCCATTTTTGACAAGGCCGAAGACTTAGACAAGCGTACAAAGTAAACAGAGATGTGCCCGCAGGCAGGGGGGCAAAATGCAAAGTGATGTGCAAGAAGCCGAACATAACTAATGATCATGCAAATGCAGCAAGCTGTAATGAAGCAAGTATTCGCGAATAGATGCAACAGTTTTAAGCAAGGATGCAAAGCAACAACTACATTTCATGCAGTTAAGAATTGCGGAGGATTATTCAATCCCCGCCACGTCTCACACGGAGGAGATACGATACCTGCGCGATTCGTCTGGTCGCACCAGCCTCAATTGAACCGTACATACAATATCGTGCCTGCAAAAGAGAAATTGCAACAAGTACAATATGCTACCAACATGTATTTAATGTGATTTCGAAAGTTCGACACACGCAGCGTCGGTGAGTGAATGCATCGCAATGCAAGAATGGGATATGCGTGGCGACGTATGCTCAAGCACAGAAGTATGATTAACAACAAGAAACGTGCACAAAAATGCAAGTATGTTCATGAGAATGCAAGATAATGTGACACGAGCATGAATCAGGGTGTTCATTTGTCATGAAACAACGAGTACGGAAACGCGTGTTTCGGCGAAGGCAACTCGATCACGGTCTCCGATCCGCTTCCCTGAAAGGTTACAACTCATTCAAAAAGGATACACTTTGATTTCGATGAATGATGATAAGACATATGTCAGAACTTGGAACCGAAGTCCCGGCGGATCGTTTCGCGACCGGAAGTGTACTTTTCTTGAACTTTTTCAGGTCCCGGGAACTCCGATCTTCCTCAAAATTTGCAGAGAGCTAGGTGAGCATGTGGGGATGATGGCCGGCCGTTTATCTTCCCAAGGGGAGGTGGCCAACCGGTTTCCACAAAAGCTAATGGCTGGCCGGCCATTTCTGCAAAAAGCAGATGGCTGGCCAACTAGAAAAAGGTGCCGGCCGGCCATGGCCTTTTTCCGGGGGCATTTTGGTCTTTTCCCCTCCTTTTGGCATGCCTCTTCAACCAAGGCTTGAGGCCTATAAATGGTAGCCGAGCCTCCCTCCTTTTCTTGCCTCTTTCAACACTTTTCTCTCCAGATCTGAGTTTCACGCGCATTTTCCAACGCCCCGCGCAAATTGTTTTCGCAAAAACACTCAGTTTTAAGCACTTTGGAGCGATTAAATTCCGGCTTCGGAGCTTCTTTTTGCATTTTCACCACTTGAGGTAAGTTTATCTTAATATTTGGAATATTTTCCCGGGAGTTGACTTTTGTTGACTTTTTTCAATTTTGGCTCATCTTGCTCATTTTTGCTCCCCTTTTGCAGATTCTCTGAAAATGGCGGGCAATTTTCCTCACGGTGGAGGTTTTCCGGGTGCCGGCGATGATTTCGATCCCATGACTCTACCTCCGAGGACCCGACCTTTCATTCCCGGGAGGTACCGTCCGACAGTACACGTCCTCCCTCGTGCCGTCTTCCGTCATTTTACCAGCTTTGACGAGCGAGCACCCGGGGATCTACTTCTCAGAGAGCCGGAGCAGCATCTCTCTCACGAGGCCCGAGAGGTATTTACCTCATCTTCTGTATTTTACATTTCGCACCTTTGCCATGCTTGAACATGCAGTTTAGCTTATGACATAGTACTTTGCTTACATCTTGAACATGTAATTTCAACACTCGAATTTCTGAACACTCGGCTCATTAATTAATTGCGAACACACAGCCCACATTAGAACAAACGGTTCAAACACTGATTTGTCGAACACACAACCCGAATTCGAAAGTGAACACACAGCCCACATTAGTTGAAATTTGAACACGCAGCCCAAACTTCGAATTTTCTGAACATGCAGCCCAGGTAGATAGTGAACACGCAGCCCACAAATTAACTGAAAGTTGAACACGCAGCCCAAATTTCAAATTTTCTGAACACGCAGCCCAGGTAGATAGTGAACATGCAGCCCACAAATTAATTGAAAATTGAACACGCAACCCAAAATTCGAATTTTCTGAACACGCAGCCCAGGTAGATAGTGAACACGCAGCCCACAAATTAACTGAAAGTTGAACACGCAGCCCAAATTTCAAATTTTCTGAACACGCAGCCCAGGTAGATAGTGAACACGCAGCCCACAAATTACGATTTGCACGTAGCTTATTTCACTTGATCGATACATAACCTATTTCTTTGCATTGGCACACAGCCCATTTCATTTCATTGGCACACAGCCCATTTCATTTCATTGGCACACAGCCTATTCATTTCATTGGTACACAGCCCATTTCACTTCACTATTGACACATGTATTCATTCTGAATGTAGGTTTGTTCCCGCGGTGTGCGGGGATATGGTTCCACCATGGCACGGGACTGGTACGCCGAGCTCCCGGAGGGCGTCAGAGACTTGGTAGATTTGGCAGGATTCGGCCCCTTCTGCGTCGGGTTGTCCCGTTGTCCTGCCAGAAGGACACTGATGGCAGCCTTGGTAGAGAGATGGTGGGACACCACCAATTCCTTTCATTTCTCTGCTACCGGGGACATGACCATGACCCCTTTTGACTTTGCTGTATTGACTGGTTTAGACGTCGGAGGTTGGTCCATCCCTTACGACGAGGATATGGGCGAGTGGGAGGCCGCCTAGATGTATCTGTTGGGGGCTCACCCGCCTGTTGATAGGACTTCTGGGAGAGTCCGATATACTTGGTTCTCTTCCCATTTCCGGCGGGCGGAGATGGTGCCTGAGACTCCCGAGGAGACGGAGCAGTATGCCCGTGGCTTCCTGATGTTCCTCTTCGGGACTACCCTGTTCGCCGACAGAGGGAACACCGTTGGGCTATACCTGTTGAGCGCTCTAGTTGACCTATCACAGGTCCATAGATATGATTGGGGTGGCGCCGGCCTGGCTACCCTTTATTTTTATATGAGCGCGACCTCCCGCGGGCGGGGCGATTTGCTTGGCGGCTACTGGAGAGCTTGGGAGGTACTTTTCTGTCCCCTTGATTTACATTTCTGCTTCTCATTATTATTTGTACATTGCACACA